TCGAGTTCTTGATAAATATAAGTTAATGAGATTAAATTATTCGTGCATAAATTAATATAATCTATAGAGTATCTCAAAAGTTTTATGAAAATTTTTGTTATACATGATCCGCCTCCCTCCTCGCACCACCACGCTTTCGCATCCGAATTCGATTTGGAGACCAACAGTTTGAATGTAAGCAGAGAGAATACCTACGTAGAAACAGATCAGTGGAGGTGTGTTTTGGAATAGAAATTGGAACAACATCATCACCCCAACAATAGGGACAAGCAAATGTGGATCCCCAAAACACTGTAAATAGAAGTGAGGAAGAAGATCTGAATGAGGATTTTTGGGGGGCTAATGGGAATTAAGCAGATGTATAATATGATGTAACGTTTTGATGATGATGTTACATTTTGGCAATGTAAAAAAAAAATGTACTGTGGATGTATAAGATAATCATACTTGTCTTATGTAAGTAATGAATGATGGATGTATATGTATGTTTAAGCGGATATGTGTATGTATATGTATACAAATGAATCAAATACAGGAAAAAAATGTGGTTACCTGAGGAATGCATTTTTTTTTTCAAATGATAAGTGTGGTTAGAATGCTACCACATTTAATAAAAGTTGTATTATTTTAAAACAACTTTATGTTATGAGATGATGCTAAGATTTATTTAGATTCATACATACACAGATATCCGGAAAGTTAACCATGTTTACCATTATTCCTCTTATGTAAACACACGGAAACATAGTTTGCCCACGTAGAAAATGTTTGGTCCAAGAAGTAGGAGGGGATTTAGCTGCCACCATAGCTAACTTACGAGCCAGACTGGAGGCTCAAGAGCATGAAAATAGAAATTTACGGGCACAGTTAGAGCAAAAAGACCAGGAACAGGAGCGAAGAAGAGTGCCACCTGTTCAACCTGCACCGCAACCAGAGCCTGCGGCGATGCCAGAAATGGTGCCACAAGCTATGCTGGTTGCTAATCAGGAACCATTATATATACGATTTCGTAGGATGAAGCCACCAGAATTTGAAGGTTTCACTGACCCTCTAGAAGCTGAAGAGTGGTTAACTTCACTCCAAATGATTCTGGATTTCATGAATCTAACAGAGCAAGAAAAAGTTCTTTGTGCTTCATATGTATTAAAGAAAGATGCCCGCTACTAGTGGGAGACAGTGGTAATGAGAAGGAATGTGGCATTAATGACATGTAATGAATTCTTACAGGAATTCAATGCTAAGTACTACGATACTGTAGGTCTCCGAGCTCAACAAAATGAATTCAATAATTTAAAACAAGGTGATATGACTGTTATGGAGGCTTGTCGTAAGTTTGATCGATTAGCAAGGCTATGCCCTCAGCTAGTGCCAACAAAAATGGAAAGGGTACGATGAATGTTAGTGATGTTTCACCCTGAAATAGCTACAGTAGTAAACAGTGGGGAAAGACCACCCACAACAGTGGCAGATTGTGTTGGTAGAGCAGTCCGAGCAGAATATCACATGGCCCAAACTAAAGAAGAAAAAACTAAGTTCTGGGAAGCCAAGAAGAAGGAACAAGCCCAGGCAAAGCAAACCCAGAAGGGCAATCAAAAGAATAATTAAGTTGGCCAGAGTAACCAAGCTAATAGAATTGGACAAGGAAATCGACCCCCGCAGAGTCGTCCACAGAATAACCAGAACCTGAATAAGAGGAAGAGAAATTTTGATGGAAATCAAAACTTTAATTCCCAAAGCTCGCAACAGAAGCAAGAACGCAACACGAATATAGTGGAGTGTTCTAAGTGTAGAAAGAAACATTCGGGTGTATGTCGTTATGGAACAAACAATTGCTATACATGTGGCAAAGAGGGCCATTATTCCTGGAATTGTCCTCATAATTCAAATAGAAAACCTACTAGACTGGCAAATGTGATGCAACTAAGAGTTGAGGAGATGCAACCTCAACAAGATAGAGTAGAAGCCCCATCGCAAACCAATGCTAGGTTGTTGGCATACACGAGGAATGATGCAGAAGCTGGCACGTCAAGAGTCGTGACAGGTCAGCTTACTATTGCTCAGCACTTAGCATACGCATTATTTGATTCTGGTGCATCACATTCATTTGCATCATATGGATTTGCTGAGAAGTTAAATTATGCTAAGAATAGAATTGGTCAGACATTTAGGACTACCCTGCCTTCTAGGGAAATTCTATTGTCTGAATTTAAGCTAGAGCATATACTAATAGTTATAGCTAATAGGGAGCTATACACAGATCTAGTCGTATTAAAGATAATCGACTACAACGTCATCCTAGGAATGGATTTCTTAGGAAAATATCAAGCTACTATCGATTGTCGTAGTGGGAAGGTGATTTTCTGACCCGATGGGGAAGAAACTTTTGAGTACGTTGATCGCTCTAAGCGTACCCCCAGACGAGTAATTAATGCAATGGAAGCAAGAAAATTACTTACTAGTGGTTGCGAAGGATATTTAGTACATATTGTGGACACGACTAAAACTGATAAGTTGCAACCAAATGATGTGCCGATAGTTCAAGAGTTTTTGGAAGTCTTTCCAGAAGAATTACCAGGATTTCCACCAGAACATGAGATTTCGTTTGAAATCAAACTTTTACCTAGAACGACATCGATTTCTAAGGCTCCTTATAGAATGGCTTCAGCAGAACTTAAGGAGTTAAAAATGCAACTGCAAGAATTAATGGACAAACGATTTATACGACCAAGTTATTCACCTTGGGGAGCCCCTGTATTATTTGTAAAGAAGAAAGATAGCACATTGAGAATGTGTATTGACTATTGTGAGCTCAATAAGGTAACGATAAAGAATAAATATCCTCTGCCCATGATTGATGACTTATTCGACCAACTCAAAGGGGCGGTAATATTCTCAAAGATTGATTTGCGATCTGGATACCACCAATTGAAGATTAAGGAACAAGATATATCTAAGACGGCTTTCAGAACGTGTTATGGACACTACGAGTTTCTTGTGATGCCATTTGGACTAACTAATGCCCCAGTAGCTTTTATGGATTTGATGAATCGTGTTTTCAAGGAATATTTGGATAAATTTGTTATCATTTTTATCGACGACATACTAATTTATTCAAAGAATAATAAGGAACATGAAGAGCACTTGAGAATTACTCTTCAAACGTTGAAAAGACATCAGCTATATGCTAAATTCTCCAAGTGGGAATTTTGGCTCAATAAAGTTCATTTCTTGGGACATGTAGTCTCGAAGGATGGAATCTCGATGGATCCAGCAAAGATTGAAGCTATTAGTAACTGGCCCACACCAAGAAACGTAACAGAGATTCGTTGTTTCTTAGGTTTGGCCGGGTATTACAGAATATTTATAGAGGGTTTTGTAAAACTAGCTGCACCACTCACTACCCTCACACGAAAAGAAAAGAAGTATGAATGTACTGAGAGGTGTGAAGAAAGTTTTCAAGAATTGAAACAAAAGCTAACTACTGTACCAATCCTTACTATTCCAAAGGAAGGAGAAAAGTTAGACGTATGTAGTGATGCTTCCAAACTAGGGCTGGGAGCGATATTGATGCAAAATGGAATAGTAATTGCGTATGCGTCTAGACAATTGAAAACTCATGAGAGAAACTATCCTACTCATGATCTTAAATTAGCAGCAGTAGTTTTTGCTTTATAGATATGGGGGCATTATTTATATGGTGCACAATGTCAGATTTTCACTGATCATAAGAGCCTCAAATATTTCTTTACACAGAAAGAACTTAATATGAGGCAACGCAGATGGTTGGAGTTAGTAAAGGATTATGATTGTGAAATCTCTTATCACCCTGGAAAAGCCAATAGGGTAGCTGATGCTTTAAGTCGTAAGACGACTGAATTAAGTCATATGGCATTGGATAGATTTCCAACCTATTTACAAAAGGATATTCATTCATTAGGGTTGGAGCTACTATTTTTGACAAGATGGCAGTAGCTCAACGTTAAGATTTTACTCTTGACAAGTATTGGAAAGAAGCTGAGGAAGGAAATGAGACGGAAATCAAAGTCTTTGGTAAGGGAATACTCACATTTTAAGGAAGAATCTGTGTTCCAAAAGATGAAAATCTTAAGAGTCAAATTCTTTCTGAAGCTCATAATCCCCCTTATTCGATACATCTAGGAGCGACTAAGATGTATCAAGATCTAAAACAACACTTTTGGTGGAGATACATGAAAAATGACATCGTGGACTATGTCAGTCGCTGTTTAACATGTCAAAAGGTTAAAGCGGACCATAAACATCCAGCTGGAGAGCTACAACCATTAGATGTTCCAGAATGGAAATGAGAGCATATAACAATGGATTTTGTGATGGAACTACCCAAAATAAGTGAAGGTTATGATGCAAGTCCAGCTGGAGAGCTACAACCATTAGATGTTCCAGAATGGAAATGAGAGCATATAATAATGGATTTTGTGATGGAACTACCCAAAATAAGTGAAGGTTATGATGCAATATGGGTAATTGTTGATAGATTGACTAAATCTGCCCATTTTGTACCCATAAAAGTGACGTATACCGTAGAAAAGTTAGCAGAGTTATATGTCACCAACATAGTTAGACTGCATGGAATACCTTTATCCATCATCTCAGATTGGGATAGCCTTTTTACCTCCATGTTTTGGAAGAGTGTACAAGAAGCCATGGGCTCAGAATTAAAATTTAGCACATCTTTTCATCCTCAGACTGATGGACAATCAGAATGTACCATCCAAACTTTAGAAGATATGCTTAGGGCATGTGTGATGGATTTTAAAGGAGCATGGAATAAGAAACTGTCATTGATTGAATTCTCGTATAACAACAGTTATCAAGCTTCAATCGGTATGCCACCATATGAAGCTTTGTATGGGAGAAAGTGTAGATCTCCCATTCATCGGTATGAAACTAGGTAGAAGCAACTGCATAAGACAGAATTCATTCAGGAGGCGGTTGAATCTATCCAGAAAATCCATCAGAGAATGAAGACGACACAGGATCGTCAGAAAAGCTGTGCTGATAAGCGTAGAAGACCCTTAGAGTTTAATGAAGAGGATTCAGTCTTCTTGAAGATCGCACCTATGAAAGGTGTTATGCGTTTTGGCAAGAAAGGAAAATTGAGCCTACGGTATATAAGACCTTTCCAGATTGTTAAACGAATAGGGAAAGTAGCCTATCGATTGGCTTTATTGCAAGAATTAGCTGCGGTACATGATGTATTCCACGTCTCTATGTTAAAGAAGTATGTACCCGATTCATCCCATGTTATTGAACATGAACCGATACAGATTCGTGAGGACATGACTTATGAGGAACAACCGGTGCAAATTCTTGCACGAGAAGAGAAGCGTCTTCGTAATCGAACTATTCCACTTGTAAAGATACTGTGGAGGAATCAAAAAGTGGAAGAAGCAACATGGGAACGTGAAGATGAGATAAGAAGAAAATACCCCCATTTGTTCTGATTTTTGGAACGAAAATTCTTGAGGAGTGGTGAATGTAACGACCGGAAAAATTTCAGGTCTAATCCGGACAGTCCGGTATTTGACCATAATTTCTTCCGGAACAGAAAGTAGTAGAATTTTCAGCTTGATCAAGGAAATGTTATGTAGAAACTTTATGTACGGGGTAAAATCTCCTGAAAAGTGTAAAGTTATAATACGAATATTTTTACAAAGAAAATTCGTAAATATCAGTTATGAATAGTGAAATTATTAGTACCGGAAAGAGACTCGTTTTGAGAAATGGAAAGAAAAATTTGAGGAGTATGGAACCCACTCATTTGCTAGCACGTATCTTTTATATGGCAAAGAATAAAAGCAGGTTGAACCAAATTATAGTATATATATATATAAGATTATTTCTAAGTACGTTTAAAAAAAAAGTGAAATGATTACTACGCAAGGGTGACATGGGCTTCACATGCAGACATAACTCATGTTGGTGACTCATGTTGGCTACATACTTCACATGTAAGGAATGAGCCTATGTAGTTTAATGCCATTACTCACGTTGGTTACATACTTCACATGTAAGGCAAAGTAGAGAAAGGTTTGTAAAGAAAAAACGTGAGAGAGGGAAGTAAAAAGAAAATAGATTAGAGAGAGACGGAGAAAGAGAAATCAAGGAAGTTAAGCACTATCACTGAAATTTCTTCCGTTCAGTCAGACAGAAACGTAACCTAAGGCATTCTAGAGAAAAACCTCAACTTCTGGAGGTAAGATTTTGGATTTGTCATGAGAATTCTATGATTTCTTGATTTGGATGAATAGCAACCCATCTCAGAAAACTTCCGTTAAAATAAAAATCGAAACCGAGGTTTTGTAGAACATCGTAATAAGAGTCTAACGGTGTAAGTATTAAAACGATTGAATGAAGTTTTGGTGGATTCTCATTGAAAATCCGTGAGCCTAGACTAAGAAAGAACATGTGTTTTTGTTCAATTTTATGTTGGAATCTGTGTTCAGGAATGCGAATCTTGACTCTAGGTACCGAAATCAAAATTAAAACGAGTTATTGAAAACTCGGGAAACGAGAAAAACAAGGCGAAACTCTGTCAAAATTTAGTTTGAGTAATTTAAACTAAAACTGGATTTCAAGAGGAATATCGATAATCGGTGATGGTTAGAAACCAAACACAATGAGAATTCACAGTTTTGGACCGAAACTCAAAATTAGGCCCATGAATGAGTAATTTGCACGGTTTTAGTGCAAATCCTTGAGATAAGAAATAGTTTGAGGTTGAATACCAAACATAAGGATTGTAGACCTTTCCGACGTAAATTTCAATGTAATTATTGATCTTAGATTTTGAATCTAACGATCAAAAAATTTATGCAATAGGGCCGATTAACGGTTGAAGTCGGACAGCAGCAAGGGAGACAAAGAACGCATTGTTAGCGAAACTTTTGTAAGTATAATAGTTTTTCTATGGCTATTTCACGAACAAGCTTACTTTTCTATGTTGCACAAACATTGTGCATATGTTAGAATTTTGAATGTTAGATACAATGTTATGCATGTATCTACAAGACTTAAGTAGCCGCAGAACTTTATTTTACAAAAAGTATGTATTGATGTAAAGTCGAGGTCAAATTAAGAGGAAAACTTAAGTGTTAACGAAAAGTTAATCTCATGATAAATTGCTAAAAAATGAACAAATTCATAAGATTTAACCAAAGTTACCGTTTCAATGAGAAAATTAATAAACGATAAGAGACCAAACATCCTGTTTGTACCAGCCTTCGAAGGAAAGGTTATTATGAGACTATGAAAGAAATGAAACCGTGATTGAGCTGGATTGGTTAGCTACCCCATTCCTCACTGGTTATGCGCGCTATGGTACAACATGACAGGGCCCATCAGAAGTAAAAGACAAGAAAATGAAAAACAGAAACCGTTCCATATAAGGTACGATATCTGTAAAGAAGAATGAAAAGAATGAGAAACACGAAATGAAAGTCATTCAGAATGTGAAAACACAATATGAACGACTAGAATGAGACGAAAGCAGACCAAAGTATGTAATGAAAGAAGAAGAACATAAGTCATATATGTTTTAGTAGAATAAAATGTATTATGATAAATGACATGAATGTATATATGGGTATGCATAATTATTGCATCTGTTATGACCTATTGATACTTGCTGAGCGAAAGCTCATTAAGTTTGTTCGTGTTGTAGGAAGCTCGTGTAAGGCACCGGTTCTCTGAAACTTGTTGATGGGCATGTAGAGAGGATGTAGCAGCAGAGTGTGGGCAAGTGGGTTGTGGATGCATCACGTGTTTTGGAAACGCTGCTAAACTTTATGTGTAAAAAGTAAATAGTGTTTTATGAATATAGATCACTTATGTAATGAAAGTTAAGCTTATAAGACAATGAGGCTACGCATATCAACCTCTATTCTCAAGGTATGACTAATGTAACAAAATGCTGTCAGAATGCTACAACATTTTATGAATAGTTGAAAACAGAATGCTAGCTAAATGCTACAGCATTTAGACGTACATAGTAAGAAAAAAAAATTGGCTTGAATTTTTAAGAGGTTATAACTAGTAAGCAGTAGAGGTTAAGTATGAATATAAGGTGATGATAAAAAGTTAGTGTCATCTCACACACACATATATATATATATATATTATATGGTTCATATTTGAGCTAAAAATGCAACCAGTTTAGTTTTAGTTGTCAAGTGAAACGTGGAACGTAGTTTTATAATTGTTCTTATGATAAGTGTTGAACACCAACATACTTTAATCAATTGTGTGGTTCATTAGCTCAATCATACTATATAGCATAACTCATTTAACTTCCATAAAATAAAATAAAAATGTCAAGTCGTTGTTCTTAATTTCCTGTATTTTATTGACTATTTATTCACTACTTGTTTACCATGTCATATGAATTCAATTGCTTGATCACGTAAATCTATCGGAATGAAATATTAAAATTCAAGTTATTGAATGAGGTGTAATAAGTAAATTAGACGAACAACAAATTAACGAGACGTTAAACTAATATATAATTTGTTCTTATTTATCACCAGACACACACACACACATACCATAATCAATATGAATTACATACTGTAATAACTACATGACAAAGACTTGCTTTCTTTGCTGGAGCGATCAATTATCCAACACTCGAACATTCTTTGCTGGAGCGTTCCGGTCATTATTGCTGACCACTACGACCTTCCATTGTCCGACATACTCAACTGGAGTAGCTTCCCCACCATCGTCGCCGCACACGATGTCCCGAGGCTGAAGACGATCCTCAACGGCATCAGCCCCGACGAGTAGAGAGGTTGAGAGGCAACGTGATCAAAGCGCATGCGCAAGCATTTCTTGTGGCATCCTAATCCTGTTGACTATTCTGCTTTTCAAATGGCCTTATATATGAGTTGTGGATTCGTCCGAATTATTTTAGGCTTGCTAGCTATACTAGTATATAGATATATTAATGTGTAATATATATATATATATATTATATTATATATACTGTGTGTGATATATCAAGAACTGACGTATATGATTTTGGATTGAGATCATGCAGTTTAAGGATAAGGCAATGATTGAACGAATTTGATTTCCAGTTAATTAACAAAAAATGAACATGTTCTATACTTCAAGGTAAAACTTCAAGTTCTGATCTTGTTGCTAGTTTTTTGGAAGCTGAGCATAAATATAATACAAGTTACTTGTGCCACTGCCAGTGCACATATGCTTGGATAAAAGAGTTTCAAACTATTAAATAAATATGATAATTAAGCTAGTAGTTTAACAACATGCGTATAAGTTTAAGTGCATAGTTATAATTAATAAAAGAAAAGGTCTATAGACATTGTTAAGAGCTTTAATTCAATCATAATAGTACTATTCCCCTATTTTAAATAATTCGCTGAAATTATATTCCCTTCATTTTCTTTGAAAATACCCAAAGATTGAAAATTTCCCCAACTGTTGAAGCATATCTTTCGTTTTTTCTCCTTTCTTTTTTCCCCATGAGCAAGATGAAAGCTATATCATCCAAGTACAAAATATATTTCAACTATATGATATACTAAAGTACTGCTCCTCAACTTACTCCAGTTTAATTGGAATCTGGTGTATTTCAAAAAATATTGTCGAGTTTTGCAGACAATAAACTTCATAAAAGAATTTCGAGCAAAAAATAAAAAAAAAAAGAAAATAACAATAATAAAAAAAATGACAAAGGAAGATAATCTTGAAATATTTCCTCTATAATGTCCAGAGTCCAACACGAATTAATGCTACAACTCGTCCATTCATAAAATGTAAAAGCAACTAAAAAAGATCAGCCATTGGCCACCAGTACTACTGAACAAGATTGGAACTATGCATCGCAGCCTACTTTTCACGCCATTAATCTTGGCTAAAAAAACTTCAAGAACAACCGATATTGTAACACATATTGGCGAAAGAACTAAGAAAGAAAACAAAACTAAAAACTTATAACAAGAACATGCATTCTAACCTTTTTTTTTCTTTAACGTCGACGACGAGTAGCCACGGTCGGAAGCGTAATTATCTGTCCAGGAAAAACCTCAATTTTGTCGCCGTCACGAACACCGTGCCACCAAAACGACCTTTCTTCTTCCATCACGGCCTGCCTGTGAATGAAGAAGTAACCCTCCGGTGGCAATGGGAAATTTATCTCCCTGTTCAGCCTGTCACACTCCTTCCTCAGCTCCGCAGCCTCATCGTGTGCGTTCACCTCCACCGGAATCTTAAAGGTCTCGCACTTGCTAATCAATTTTACCCTCAAGCAGTTCCTCGGCCTAAATCTGACATCGATCTCCGCGCCGTCGGGAACCTCTTGTTCCCTCAAAGAGAAATTGTCTTGGAGGTCTTGATTCATGAAGCGGAGCACCATTGAGGATAAGGACTGGTTGGAGACAGTGCGGTTCTCCTTCTCCGCCTCGAGAATCTTGTTCTTGAGGATACGAACGGTGTCGTTTACGGACGTTTGTATGGGTACGACGTGCGTTTGGGGGGTGGGGATCTTGACGCTGAGGCGCACTGTGGTGTTGGGGGGAGGCGAGCTGCTGCTAGTCTGGGCTTTGCCTTTGGAGGTGGCAGCGGTGTTTTCTGTGGAGGGGAAGGTGATGCTTAGAGGGCGAGAGAAGCGGCTGGCCGGGGATTCGGCGGCAGCGGCGGTGGTGCCCGCATTGTCGAGGAGAGGGCGAGACGAGCTGCTGGCCCGGGCTTCAGCGGCGGTAACGTTGTGGATGAGAGGGGGAGACGAGCTGCTAGCCAGTGCTTGGGCTTGGGCTAGAGCAGCGGCGGCGGAGTTGATGAAAGGGCGGGACAAGGTGCTAGCCAGAGCGGCGGCAGCAGCGTTGTTGAGGAAACGGGGATCCAATCCGCTGGCCAGGGCTTGGGCCTGGGCTTGGAAGGCGAAGACGGAGCTGAGAAAAGGGGGAGACGAGGTGCTGGCCAGGGCACCGGCGCTGGCGTTGTCGAGAAGAGGGGAATACGAGCTGCTGGCCCTTGCGGCAGCGGCAGTGTTGTTGAGGAGACGGGAATACCATCTCCTGGCTAGGATTTCAGCAGAAGCGGCGGCAGCGGAAGCGGCAGCATGGCGGATAAAAAGGGGAGACGAGCTGCTTGCCATGGTTTCGGCAGCGGCGACTGTGGCGTTGTTGAAGAGGGGGGGATACGAACTGCTGGCCAAGGCTTCGGCTTCAGGAGCGGTGGCATTGTTAAAGAGAGGGGGATACAAACTGCTGGCCAAGGCTTCTGCGGCGGCAGCGGTGGCGTTGTTGAAGAGAGGGGGATACGAACTGCTGGCCAAGGCTTCGGCAGCGGGAGCGGTGGCATTGTTGAAGAGAGGGGGATACGAACTGCTGGCCAGGGCTTCGGTGGCGGCAGCGGTGGCGTTGTTGAAGAGAGGCGGATACGAACTGCTGGCCACGGTTTCGGTGGTGGCGGCAGCGGTATTGTCAAGGAGAAGGGGATACGAGCTGCTGGCCAGGGCATCGGCGGCGGCAACAGTGGCGTTGTCGAAGAGAGGGGGATACGAGCTGCCGGCCAGGGATTCGGGGGCCGTGGCGACATTGTCGAGAGGAAGTGGATACGAGCTGCTGGCCAGGGCTTCGTCTACGGCGGCGGCGTCGAACTCTGGGAGAGGGGGATCAGACGAGGTGCTGGCGGGGTCTTCGGCGATGATAAGGTTGATGCGGGAGTTCTGAAGGATGTTGCAGCTGAAGAGGTCGCTGTCGTGGGGAAGAATGCGGCCGTTGAAGACGAGGGTTTGTTTGGAGACGGGAATGAATCGGTGTGCCGCGATCATGTGTTTGATCTCTAAGACGGTGTCGAAGAAATCGACTGGCATGGTGAAGGGTTCACCTCCTTGGGGCTCAAAGATCACGTCCATTTTGCACAAGAAGAAGGAGAAGAAGATGAAGAAAGAAGAAGTAATGAAGACGAAGAAAGGTGGGTTTTCTTGATCTGTTATAACTGTCTGATTGTTTTGCTAGTGCAAACTGCAAAGGAGTACTTATCTTTCTGGTAAGGAGGAAAGGCAATGTGGAAGTGTATAAGTGTGTGCGTGTGTGTGTGTGTATATATACACACACACACACACACACACATATATATATATATATGTATATATATGGTTACAACAATATCCAATATCTGGACTTTTTTTTTTTTTTGGAACAAATTCAAGGTCTAGTCTTGATTCTTGAATCTTGATATGACAGAGATTTTATATGGTATTTTACAGCAATGCCATGATTTGGTTATTAACTTATCTAATGTTGTGGTACTCTTAATTACTAATATCTTTACTATTTTGTCCAATTATTATATAAAGAAGATTTACCTTTTTTCCTTTTTTCGGATGATACACGGACGGAAATTCCTGGTGCCAATTAAAATATGTAACAAATTCGTTACTGAAAAAAGTTGCGAAAAATTAAAAGGTTACTGAGAGCAAATGACCTAAAAAAACAATAATAATAACATGGATAATTTCAAGAATCTATATAGGACTTGAAGGAATAATGTTATTTTTATTCTAACTTCAACTTACTTTTTTCATTTTTGCTGGAATTCTTTAATTGTACATGCTTTCAACTACTTCCTTTCTTGTTTGATTATTCTTTTATAAAATTAATTTTGTTATGTAATTTACCCTTAAATCTAATTCTTTTCTAAATATGCCTTTATTTTTTTTAATATTTTATACTCAATCTTCTGAAATATATATTTTTTAAATATTACCTTAATAAAATCAAACTGGTTAACATTTTTAACCAATCTTCTTATATTTTGGTTGATTGGCTACCTTATTTTTAACATTTTTTCAACAAAACCAAACTGGTTAGGGTGGGTTACAAGTTCTCAGATAGAAAATCTACAGTCACAACTCAAAATATTTAACTTGTAAATCTCTATACTCAATATACTACATATAAGAGAAGATTCATCTATTTCTTCAAATTTTTTTCCAAACCATCAGTATATACGATATAAGTTTGTTGGTTTTTGTTTGTATAGATTGGTTATATTTATTCCCTTTGCAATTTACATCTCTATATTTGGAGATGCAAATGTTATACACATTCAAGTTGAACTCAAATTATAAATTGAATTAACATATTCTTTTACATATTTTCATCATATATAAGAAACAATTAGAAAATTATATTTTTGTATCAAAACATTGTTAATGCTTAAATATAATTTCATATAAAATTTTCACAAACTAAAACCTAGAAATGAATATGCATGCATGTTCAAGACTTGATCAAAAGTTTATCTTGCCCTATTCTTTTGGGCATGAAACAAACCTGCCGGAATTTTAGACCAAAGGCCATCAAGTCCCAAAGATATCGCTCTTTCTTAATTTACCTCTTATTTTGCAAGCAAACACAAAAAACAGAAACATGCAATGAATTATGTGCTCATTAAGTAATTCTGTCGGTAAAATGGCTACAAATCCAAAGAAATTAAGGGAATAGATTTTTGAGCATGAGCTATAAAAGTAATACTTCTGCGAGTAGTCCTTCATATGCTTAGATATAGAGTTTCAAACTGCAAATTTATGCAATTGCTAAGATTTTAAGTGCACGCTCATATATAGTTAGTAAAAAGGTATATAGATTGTTAAGATTTATTAAACCATCTATTGTATTGAACTGTTTGAGTTAAGCTGCATTCTCTACATTTGCTTTGAAAATAGTGAAAGATCGAAGTAAAAAAGAAGCCCCGAGCGCAACCTATATGTTTGATTGGTTATGCCTCCGGATCAGTACTGTCCCTTTGTTTTTGTTTATTCTCGTGGTCAATATATACAGAATGTGTGTGTGTGTGTGTGTATATACCTACATATTTATAATTCAAGTAAAATAGAGTTTCAACGACATGACATGCCATACTGTTCCATACCTCACTCTAGTTTGATTTGAATCTGGGGTTAAACTTCATAAAGGAAGACAATAATCTTGAAATATTTTTCTGATGTGTAGAGTCCTATATATATATATATATACACACACACACACACACATATATACATATATACATATATATATATATATATATAGACACACACACCCTAATTGCTCCAACATTGATCGATCAATAAAGAGTAACGGAAACAAAAAAACGAAGCATTAGCCACCACTACTGAAAAAGATTGGAACCTTCATTATAGCCTACTTTCCATGCTATTGATCTTGCCTAAAAAACTTCAACAATAACCAATATACGGCACATTAAGGAATGAAAAAAGATGGGATCACGGTAATAATAATAATAATAATAAGGAATAGAAAAACCGAACATGCATAACCATTTTCACGACCCACCTGAAACACTTCCAGGAAAGACCTCAATGATGTTGCCATTGCCAACATTGTGCCACCAAAACGACCTGTTGTCGTCCATCACGGCTTGCTTGTGAATGAAGAAATAACCCTCCGGCGGCAAAGGGAAGTTGACCTCCTGGTTCAGTCTCTGACACTCCTTCCTCAGCTCCATAACGTTATCCGCTGGGTTCACCTCCACCGGAATCCTCATGGTCTCGCACTTGCTCTGCAAGATCACCTTCAACTTCTTGTTCGACACAGGCCTCCTAGAACTCACCTCGATCTCAGCACCATCGGAAACCTCACATTCACCGAAAGTACGATGATCTTGCAATTCGGGACCTTTGGAGTGAAGCACCAGTAAGGAGCGGTTCGCGGCGGCGAGGGTTTTCTCCACCTGAAGAATCTTATTCTTCAGGTTGAGAACGGTGTCGTCTACGTCGATTTCTATCGTCGCGACATGCTGTTCGGGGGTGGGGATTTTCACGTTGAGGCTTACTGTTTTCTCGTCGGAAGCGATGATGAGGTTGATGCGGGAGTTGTGGAGAAGCACGCAGCTGGCGATGTCGCCGTCGTCGGGAAGAACTTGGCCGTTGAAGACTAGGGTTTGGTCGGAGACGGGAATGCGTTGGTATTTCTCAACCTTCTGTTTGATCTCTTCGACTGTGTCGAAATAACCGACTTCTATGGTGAAGGGTTTTCTCTTTTGGGGCTCAAAGATTAAGTCCATTTTGCACAAGAAGTAGAAGAAGGAAGAAGAGGATGGGTTGCCAGATTATTGATAATTATTATTATGGAAGTATGTGGAGATAGTTAACTAATATAGAGATTTTTATGGAACAAACATTAGCCAATATTAATTAGTCTTGACAAGTTCAGTCTTGACAACAGATTTTATGGTTTTAGATCAATGACCAAGTCTAACTCACTAACTGATGTTCACAGCCAAAATAAATAAATAATAATAATAATAATAATAATAATAATAACCAAGTCATTAACCGTACTGATCTTCTTTGCTATTTTATCCATGTTCACAACGAAAAAAAAATCCTAAAAAAAAAACACTATATATATATGTGTGTGAAAACCTTAGACATAAAACATAATCTAAGTCTTGTTGAAATTTTTAATATTTATATATAGTAAAAATTAAAATCAAGGAGGGAGGGAGGGAGGGATGGGGAGAGAGAGAGAGAGAGAGAGAGAGAGAGAGAGAGAGAGAGAGCGAGAGAGAGAGAGAGAGCGAGAGAGAGAGAGAGAGCGAGAGAGAGAGAGAGAGCGAGAGAGAGAGAGAGAGCGAGAGAGAGAGAGAGAGCGAGAGAGAGAGAGAGAGCGAGAGAGAGAGAGAGAGAACAAACTCTCTAATGAGTTATGAAAGAGAGAGAGAGAGAGAGAGAGCTAACAAACTCTCAAATGAAAGAGAAAAGCTTCTACCTTCTTATGATATTGAAGCCTCCGGTGTTCCATTTCATCTAGAGAAATAATAGAATTAAATGGATTTAATCAGAGTATCTTCAATGTGAAGTCATCAGTTGAACTCGTACGTTCATATTGTTAGATGAAAAAAGGGACAAATTTTGAAAATTCTTCCGGTCCCAAAACTCTAGTAAAAAATCAAGTTTACCGCACAATATATATTTGAAATGCAATATTTTCACACCCCAATTAATCTTTAAAGACGTAATGAAAACAGCTCTTCTGCTAGATTGCAATGAATTGGACCCAACGAATCAATTGAGAGCCCAGTTTTAAGCTTGAATTGTAATTATAATCCTACAATTTCTCCGGTTTGCTATATAGTTCTATCACATGCCTACGATATGGAAAATTACAAAAATTTCGTCGGCACCTTAAATCAACATGATGAGAATGTTGCAGTTAATGATCAATCACAATTTATTATTTCTTAATGGAATTATTGGACACTCTAGAAAATCTCGAAACTCCACGCCTTGATCAACGATTAATTGTTCAGTATATAGCACATAATCGGAAAATCAATAAAGAATTAGGAAATAGGTATATCGATCGATTGTTTAACTCAATCATCTACTTGTATTAGTATATAAAAGAAAATAATAATTTTAAAAACACATATTACTGGTGTATCGAATAGGATGATCGGTTTGTGATTGCTTAATTTCACTTTTGATCTTCATCAAGTAAAAATAGTTGTACCTTTAATCCCCTTGAAATAATCAATCCACATGTGGGCAACAGAAAAATTACTAAAAACCGAGTATCCACAATATCATAACGCGATTTATCTATGACTAACTCTAGCTCCATAGAAGAAGAGAGAGGAAAAAAAACTTGACAAAGGAAGACAATAATCTTGAAATGTTTCATTTATAATGTGCAGAGTCCTCTACAAATTCCTCCAACATTGATCAACTCATGAAGAGTAAAAGAAACAAAAGAAAGTGCCATCGGCAACCACTACTGAACATGATTGGAAATATGCATTCGCTTCCTACTTATCATGCATGCCATTAATCCTGGCTAACTAAAGACTTCAAGAACAACAAATATTCTAACACATTGGCGAAAGAAAGAAAGAAAGAAACAAAGAAAAGAAAAACTAAGAATTACCAAAGTCATGCATAACCATTTTTTTTTTTTTCACGATTGAGGTGGCAAAATTCGTCCAGCAAAGACCTCAATGGTGTCGGCCTCTTCAACATTGTGCCATCGAAACGACATTTCTTCATCCATCACGGCCTGCCTGTGGATGAAGAAGTAACCCTCCTCCGGCAATGGAAAGTTCATCTTCTCCTTCAGCCTCTCGCAATCCTTCCTCAACTCCGCAAGGTCATCCTCCGGGTTGACCTCAACGGGAATCTTCATGGTCTCGCACATGCTCTGCACAATCACCATCAAAATCGGCGTCCTAAATCTCACGTCAATCTCCGTGCCGTTGGAGACCTCGTATTCCTCGAAAGTACGATCGTCTTGCAATTCTTGGCCGTCAAGGCTAAGCACCAGCGGGCGGTTGGCGGGGAGATTCGCCATCTCCAGCGTAAGAATGTTGTTCCTGAGTTTGAGGGGGGTGTCGTCCATGTCCATTTCTATGTTTATGATGTGCGGTTGGGGGGTGGGGATTTTGACGCGGAGGAATACTGGTTTCTCGTCGGAGGCGATGATGAGGTTGATGTGGGAGTTGTGGAGGAGCACGCAGCTTGCGATGTCACCGTCGTCGGGGAGAACGTGGCCGTTGAAAATGAGGGTTTGATCGGAGACGGGAACGCCTTGGTACTTCTCGACCTTCTGTTTGATCTCTTCGACTGTGTCGAAGTAACCCACTTCTATGGTAAAGGGCGGTCTCTTCTTTGGGTTGAAGATTAAGTCCATTTTGCACAAGAAGAAGAAGAAGAAGAAATTGCGGGTTTTCTTGATCTGTTTGTAACTGTGTGAGTGTTTTGCTAATGCGAGTGCTTTTGTTTTTGGTGAGGAGAGACAACGTGGAAGTGCATGTATTGAGGTATATACAGGGCGTTTGTTAACGTTTTTAAAATAATTTTATTTTTAATATAAAAGTAAAAATAAAATTATTTTTAAAATTATTTTAGAACTGATTTTGAAATTGTTTTTAATTGATTTTTTAAGCGATTGTTTTGAGTATAATAAAAAAATAAAATCGAGTTTGGTTATAATTATTAATTAATATATTATAACATTATTGATAAGTACTAGAAAATGAAAACAGAAATGGGAAAATAATTTTCAATAATTTTCTAATTCCTTTATAATAAATACGGTTTGTAGACTGTTTTCATTTTTGTGTTGCAAAAGACGTGTAAAAACGTTTTTAAAAATAAACAAAAATTAATTTCAAACGCACCGAATATGTCTAGAATTTATTTATTCATTTATATATTTTGGGTAACAAAAAATCATGTCTAATCTTGAATCTTGAATCATGATAATGACATATTTGATTGAAACTTGAGAATATCCACTTGTGGGCTTTGCTCACCCATGCAGTCGTACTAGAAACACCGGAGGATGGTGCTTCTGTCTTTGGCACACATCGGCTTAATTTGGTATTGCCTTTTTCTCTCAAAATCAGCTTATGTTTGTAGTAGAAGTTGATTTTAGTGTTTGAGAAATCTACTCAAAAGTGTTTTTTTGAAGAGTTTTTCAAGAATCTACAGCCAAAACCAGAAGCAGCATAAAGATAACTTTAGCATTTAGATTGTGCGAGAATCATCATAATACAATTAATGAAACTTTCATAATACCTATAATACCTCTAATGAAATTTAAAATTTATAATCTTCCCAATCTAAAATTTAGACGCGTAATATAATATAATATAATAGTAATATTGTAACAAATAATATCATAATTATATTAATAACTCTCATATTATTTTATCACATAATATGATATTATAATTATAATATGATATTGTAATTATTATTTTATAATATTTTATATATTATATTCCGGCAGGACCTTCCGCTCTATCGTGCCCTTCGCCGCGAAGGCCTTAAGTTTATAGTGTATTACACAGTCATCGGGTGCAATCATACCAGCACTAATGCACCGGATCCCATCAGAACTCCACAGTTAAGCGCGCTTGGGCGAGAGTAGTACTAAGATGGGTGACCTCCTGGGAAATCCTCGTGTTGCACCCCTCTGTTTGCCTCCCTCGCCTCTTCTCCTCTTGTCTTTTCTTTTTTCCCCTGGGCCGTGGGGCACTTTTTTTCCCGATTCCGGCATCGCCGCCCGGGGTGGCACCGGCGGTGGGAGAGAAGAGAGGCGTGAAAAAATGTCGGCTAGAGCAGAGCCCGACCCCACGGCCCGGGGGAAAAAAGAAAAGATAGGAGGAGAAGAGGCGAGGGAGGCAAAAAGATGGGTGCAACACGAGCGGAAAAAGAGGCATTTTGAGGCTCCAAACAATGGAATTCGGCCGAAAAACGAACGGGCTCGTCGCAAAGGGACGAGTCTTGGTCGGTGGCCCGTTTCTGCTTGGAAAAGTGCACTTTTTTTCCCGATTCCGGCATCGCCGCAACGTTATATAATATATTTATTTAATAAAACATAATAATGATAATATAATATAATATAATATATTATTATTTAATATAGTTGTAATTTTTAATTATATTATAATTGAAATATTAATATTTCTTATGTACTATTATAATATGTTTAATAATATTGTAATTATATTAACCATTTCAATAATATTATTATATTCTATATCATAG